GCTATGCTCCTAGCATCTACGGTGCGCCGGCACTGTACACCTCTTTGACGGACACAATCATCAGCTGGAGACGGTTGGAGCTTTCTACTTGGGCGAAGCTCTTCGATATGGAAGCCCAGAAGTGCTCCAATGATGCCGATTCCTGGTTTTTCGTTGCCTACCAGGTCGTCATCGCAGTCCCGCTGTCCCTTGTGGACTCTCCCGATCTCAAGGAATACGGTGTCAGTCTCTTCAAGGAGCTCGAGAACTATTTTTCCACCGCAATCATCGGTCAATTCTCCGCCCGCTTGAGACTGCTCAGACAATTGCAGAAGCACCTCGAGCTTCTCGCCGTCGATTACCCTACTCTGTCTGTTATCCGAGATGCGGCTCAGAATTTCATCGACTTTTACTCCCGCTTTGAGAGGGTTGCGAACGAAACAATGGCCAAGAACAGGGCTCCTATTGAAAAGAAAATGAAGGAAGTCGTGCTTCTGGCTAGCTGGAAGGACACCAACATCAATGCCCTGCGTGAGAGCGCTCGGAGATCTCACCAAAAACTCTTCAGAATCGTCCGCAAGTTCCGCGGCGTGCTTGGCCAGCCTATGAAACCAATTCTGGACCAAGGCCTTCCTGAGGAGGAAGTCGCTCGCAGCATTAGCTCAGATTCAGCAGAAAAGGTTGAAGTCCAGTCAAACTCAGCCGCGGTCTCCGCCGTCAACAAGGGATTCCATGGTTGGCTGGCCCAGCATAAGCGTCTGTCGAATGCTTCCAAGACGCTGTCCATCATGGCTAGTGTTACGACGAAAGCCAATCAAGACAAGTTGGACGCCAGCCAGGAAGTCGACTCCTACGTCGAAAGCCTTCGCTCATCCATTGAGGAGTTGCGCAAGGAAACCCCTGGCACTTTGACCGAGGAAAACAAAGACCAGGTGAAGCATCTCAAGACCCGAAAGCGCAACCTCTTCGCGGACGTTTTGAAGGCCCTCAGGCAGATGGGCTTCAGACATAACCTTGGAACGGAGGAGTTAGCCAAGCAGAACTCTGTTGCTATTATACTTGCAAGCCTGCCTGCGTCCGATATCCTTCAGACATACTCCAACGATGCTGCCGAGTACTACTTCCATAAGGTTGTCGATATTGCGCCTCAAGTCAGACTTGCTGCCCATGAACATCACAGCGAACTCACCGGTGCTGAGGTTACCCGAAGCACTGGCTTCATGGAGGGCATGATGACAGTCGTTCTAAGCCAGCATAGCACTCTTACAACGGCGCGCAAGTCAATTTCCTCGCTAGACCGCGCCATCACCTCGATCCAGGCTCTCAGTAAGAGTTCTGATCTTAAGCATGCCAATGCTGATGATTCTGCGTACAGAATCAGCGTGAAATGGTGGATGCCTATCGTCGAGTTTGGCATCAAGGTTGTCGAGATTCACGGCAAGCTAGCGTCCATCGATAACCAAAACACCCTGAACATCCTCAAGGGGTATCTGGAGATGGCCGAGGGACTGTCAAAGTCTCTGCAAAATACAGCATCGATCCCGGAGAAGTTTGTACCCCATGGGCAGGACTCCTTGCAGGACCAAGTTATGGTCGCCATTCAAACTATCAACACGTCATTGACATTTGGAGATATGCACAATACTGACCTCAACTTCGTCCTGGACCAAGTGAGGGTTTGGTTCAACATCGATCAAGCTCAAAGCCACACCAGCAACGCCAATTTCGACAGGACCGCCAACCTGTTTAAGGATTCAGTGTCCAGCCTTTGCGATGCTGTTCTCGTCGCTGTTCAAGAGTACAAGAAGGCCATTGCTGACCTGCCTAAGTCATCTGATGATGCTGGCTGGCTGGCCAAGACTAGCACTGTCCGCAACGCTAGTCTCACTGCACTGCACATCAACGCTGTCGTGGACAAGATCAACGCATGTCTGTCTGCCTTGGAGAGCGTTGATCTCGAAGACACTGCGATGGGGGCCGCTGCTTCATCCCTCCTTGCAATCATTCTGCCGATCGTTCAACAATACGCCCTCACAGCCCACAAGAGCTTTGCCGAGCTTTACAACCTGCATGCCGCGACAGGAAACTTGACATACCAGCTTTCTCGCACATTCTCACAGCTTGCTACTAAGGGCTTCTGCACACCCCAAGAGAAGTCTGACGAGCAGTCTGGAGATTCTGGCAAACTCGAGTCTGGAACGGGACTGGGAGATGGTGAAGGAGCGGACGACATCAGCAAGGACATCCAGCCCGACGAAGATCTCACAGAGCTCGCTCAAGAACCAAACAAGGAGCAAAGTGGAGAGATGGAGGATGAAAAGGACGCTGTTGATATGGCAGATGAGGAGCTCGAGGGAGAAATGGGTAGTGTCAATGGCGAGGACGAGGAAGACAAGGATGATGGGGACGAGAAAGATGGCGAGGAAAACGAAATGGACGAAGAGGTTGGCGACGTTGACGACCTGGACCCCACGGCTGTCGATGAGAAAATGTGGGATGGCGAGAACGAAGAGGAAGCCGAGAAGGACCAGCAGGGCGAAAAGGCCAAGGGACAGAAGAAGAAGGATGAGCAGATGGCTGCCGACAACGATGCCAAGGCCGACGAGAATGAAGCTGAAGATGATGATCAAGAAATGGAACAGGGAGATGAGGAGGCGGAGGATGAGGCTGGTCCCGAACAGGAAGACGTTAAGTTCGAGGAGGAGATCAAGCAGGACCAGAACGTAGAGCAGAATGATGCTCTAAACATGCCCGAGGAGATGGACTTTGACTTTGACGAGGAAGGGGAAGATGATGAAGGGTCAGAGGACGATGAACTGGATAAGCTGTCAGATATCGAGAAGGAGGAGCCTCAGCAACAACAGCAGGAGGACAACGTTGAGGATGGGGAAGAGGAGACACAGCGACCCGATGAGAAGGGGCCGGAAGAAGAAGAAGAGGAAGCAGAAGAGCCTGAAGAAGAGGACCTTGCGGGAGAGCCAGAGCCTGACATGGAGCCCAAGGCTGAAGAGGAAGACGACCAAAAGGAGCCTGAACAGCAAGATCCTCATTCGGATCAACCTCGCGACAATTCGAACGCTGATGCGAATGCCGCTCCTAGCGACGTGAAGGGTGGCGGCGAGGAACAAGACGCCGACCAAATGGACGTCGAGAACGACTTCAGCGAGAATGCGGCCCAGAGAGACGAAGGAGATGCCGGCGACGGTGCTGCTGAGCAAAAGGCTAGCGCAGGCAAGAAGGGAGCCCTCTCCCGGTCCGATGAACAGGCGCAGCCGACCGAGAAGGATCAAGACGACGCAGCTGAAAACCGGCAAGATCCTTTCAAGAAGCTTGGCGATGCTCTTGAGCGTTGGCACAGACAACAGAGCGACATTAAGGATCCTGAGAAGCAAGATGATGGCGAGCAGAAGCAGTCTCAAGATGTCGACGCAGACCTCGGCGCTAGCGAATTCCAACATCTCCAGGATGATGAGACCGCCGCTGATGCACAAGCCATGGGTGCTGCATCTGAAGACCAGGTGCAGCCCATAGACGAGAACATGGCCATCGATGAAGAGAAGAAAGATCCGACGAGCCGTGTGATGCCCGAGACGGAAGACGTTGATATGGAGCAAGATCCTGACAAAATGGACACGACGGAGGCCCCGGAGGCTCAAGACAAGGAGGGTGGCGCCGACAACGACGACGGCCGCTCTGGTGTCAAGACAAGGCAGGGCGCCTTCGACCGTGAGATCTCTCCCGAAGACGACGAAGTTGAGAGGATGGACGATGAGGAGGATGAGGAGGAGCAAGTCATTGAGGAGACCTCGGAGCAGCTCTCGACAACCCACCTCAGCGATGAGCGCCCTCTCCGGGACTTCTCTGAATCTCTCCAGTCATGGACGGTCTTCCAAACCAAAACTCACCCGCTGTCCCTCTCCCTCACCTCTCAGCTCCGTCTCATCCTCACACCCTCGCAATCAACCAAGCTGTCTGGCTCCTACCGCACCGGCAAGCGCCTCAACATCAAGAAGATCATTCCCTACATCGCTTCCAGCTACAAGCGAGACAAGATCTGGATGCGCCGTGCCATTCCGACTAAGCGCTCCTACCAGATTCTTCTCTGCGTTGACGACAGTAAGAGTATGGGAGAGACCAGCTCCGGAAACCTAGCACTCGAATCCCTCGTTATGGTCTCGCGCGCTCTCACTATGCTCGAGGTTGGCCAGGTCGGCATCCTCGGCTTCGGCGCCGACACTTTCATGGCGCACGACTTCACTCAGCCCTTCGCCTCGCACGATGCCGGCGCCAAGGTGCTGCAGCACTTCTCCTTCAACCAGGACCGAACCGATATCCAGCTGCTCGTGCGCAACACGATCGACCACTTCCGCACGGCGCGAATGCAGAATCCGGCCCGCGGTGCCGAGGATCTCTGGCAGCTTGCCTTGATCCTGTCTGACGGTCTGACCCCCTCCAACCAGCACGATGGCATCCGTCGACTGCTGCGTGAGGCCATGGAGGAGCGTATCATGGTTGTCTTTATCGTCATGGACGATATAGGTAAGAAGAAGGGAGATAGTGTGCTGGATCTTAAGGAAGCAAAGTTCGTCAAGGACGAGAGCGGCAACAGCCGCGTTGTCATTGAGAGGTATCTGGATACTTTCCCGTTCCAGTACTACCTTATAGTTCATAATTTGGAGGACTTGCCAAGCGCCCTTGCAGGACTGCTGAGGACTTGGTTCGCCGAGGTCAACTCGTAAAATGGGGATGGCGGAAATAAAAGTTTTTGTCTTTTTTGCTGGTTTCATGGAACAGGAGTTAGAGGTTAATGGACGACATTTCGCATTATAGAAATAGAATATGTTCGGAACAAACGAATTCATAAAACACAGCTTCATGAAGAAAGTTCACCCTCAATGAACAACGTTCGATCAACATGTTGAGGAGGAGGCCGTTTCCGAAGGCATCGCATCCTGCTGTCTGAACGTCACTCCGGCGCAGTGGGTCTTGAGTAACTTAGCTTCGCAACTTTGGTATCCACATCCGATATGGTGTAGTGGCCAACATGATGCCCTCTCATGAATTTGAGAGGTTAGGCATAGCCCCGAGTTCGATTCTCGGTTTCGGAATGTTTTTGCCTCGCTCGGCTGTTCATTTTACCTTTGGAGATGTGATCCACATCAGTCATTCGTTACTTCTTGTTGTGTTGTTCTCTTATGGCACATTTCTTTTGCCAAATTTCGTTATGTCTTTGACTGCGATTGTGCCTGATGGTGTTTGTTGTACACAGTGCTAGCAAGTGAATGCTGCCCGTCTATCTATCTATCCCAGCCTGGGTCTATCTTCGTTATGAGGTTGTTCCCTCCAAGTAATCTATCGCTTGCACAAAGAAAAGTTGTTATACATTCAGCCGTCCAGCACGGTTTCGTCAGCAAAGTCTTCAGAATCGAGAAATGTCGCGTCCAAAAACCCAAGTAATGAACCAATACCAAGGAACAAGCACCTTGTTCTTGATACTCATGGACTTGGTAAGATACGCTGTTCTCCACAGAATCCAAGCAGCACTACATGGATTCACGTCAGTCATAACGTACAGAACGTAGGTGAACTAGTGTCACTTACCGGCCCTTGAGCTCATCAGCTGAGCTCTGGTGAATAGCACGCCATGAGCCGAGATAAGTCATGGCGCCCCAGTTGCGGAAGCTGAACGGTGCCGGCTCCTTACCGCTAGTGGCACGGTTCAAGGTTTTGGCGAGGTACTTGGCCTTCGATGTTGTTAGCATCCGCGATCACAACGACAGCGAGCGATGAGGGAGTACTTACCTGCTGGCTGGCGACCTGCGCGGTGGCCGGCAAAGTCTGATTCTCAAGGATAGAACAGTCGCCCATAGCATACACATCAGGGAGTAGAGCGTTCTCGTTTTCCGGGTCATTAAGACGGACGCGGAGCATCGGGTCCGTGATAATTCCACCGCTCCGCTCCGCCTTCTTGATGGTCACTGTCTCGCCCTCCTTCTCCGTAGGACTACGAAGCTCCTTGGCAACGAGGGTCTGGATAAGCGGGTTCTGCATGAGGCCGGTGCTCCAGACGCAGATGCCGGCACCCACTTCCTCGTCGCCGTACTCCTTGATCTTCAGCCTCAGACCGCCGTTGTCGTCCGGGCGAACGCGCTGCAGGTGGTGCTCCGTCTTGACCGAGATGCCCTGGCGGCGGAACTGCTCTGTTGCGTACGTCGCGAGCTGCTGGTCGAACATCGGCAGCACCTTTGGGGCGATGTCGTAGATTGTGATGGACACCAACTCCATCAGGTGCGGGTAGATCTTGGAGAGGTCATCGTGGATGAGGTCGTGCAGCTCAGCCGCGAACTCGATGCCTGTTGGTCCTCCGCCCACGACGGCAAAGTGCAAGAGGTCGCGGCGCTGTGCGTCCGTTGCGGTGGGCCAGCTCGCCTTCTCGAACAGCTGCAGGACCTTGAGACGAATGCTCCGCGCGTCGCCAATGTCTCTCAGGAAGTTGGCGTATTCTTTGACACCCTCGATGCCGAATGTCTGCGAGTAGGCGCCGACGGAGATGACCAGCTTGTCGTACGGCACGTCTATCGTCTCGCCCTTGGGCTGGTGCTGCTTTGCGGGCAGAGTTTTGGAGGTGGGGTCTTCAGAAGTGACCTTTTCGATGCGGACGAGCTTGCGGGAGAAGTCGACGTCGTCGGCCCACGCCTGGTGGAAGGCGTCGAGGTTCAGCCGGCGGACTGGCTCGAGCGTTGAACGGAACTCGAGGGTGCCGACTGACGTTGAAGCTAGCAGGGGGGTGAAGACAAAATATGATCGTGGTGAGATGAGGATGCGCTCATATTTCTTTGGGTCGAGTTCGCGAGCAAAGGCGTAACCCCTGCGACGTGTGAGTAAGACGAGACCGAGGCACAAGTGATATAACTCACGCCCATCCCGAGCCTAGTATGACTACCCTTTCTCTCTTGTCCTCTTGAATGTGTGTAAGTAAATTGCATTTTCAACAAAAGTGAATGTCCAGTCGATGACTCACCCGTTGACGAAGACGAGCTTGTGCTGTTCCGATACTTGACCATGCTGGTGTTAGTCGGGGCCGACGCTTGCAATGCGGCTCCGGCCCCTGCACGTCCGGGGCGGGCCAGACTTCTCCAATATTGTTGGGCGACTTTTGATGAGGCCATTTTGGGGTTACAATCATGCCACCAGATGCACGAAGGGTTCAGTGTCTTGATGTCATATATAGAACCAACCGCAAGACCCCTAGACTGACGTACCCAGAAGGTAAACGGTCCTTCTTTGATGGAATATGGGGGCCACGAGAATGGATCGGAACCAAAAGCTTCGGTGTCCGGGGAGCTGGTAAAGAGCGCAAAGCGCAGGCAGGGGCGACTAAGACGGACGGGGTTTTTTTACGTGAGGATTGCTGGGTTAAGGCCGAAGACGGACGGTTGTGGGAAAGTCAATGCGCTGGCTGGATCAATCAGACCTCGTGCGTAGCTAATCTAAAAAGGAATTTCGGCTGTGACACAGCATAGCTTTTGTTTTGTAAGACGCCTAAATACAGATTTCTATTGACCTTCAGCTTTGCGTCATAGGTACAGAGCCTGAAAATAAGTTTGCGGCCGCTTGGCGGCTGCGAAAAGTCCACAGGCTAAAGGACGTCTACGCGCCCCACACTGGGCGTCTTCTCCGTCCCGAGCACTCCGGCCCCGAGACCCACTCTTTGTGTCCAAGGTATGACGCCCCCATGACTCTCAAAATTCTCACCATTACACGGCAGACGCCCGCTTTTTTCCGTCCGAAATGCCGCTCAGTATCTTCTAGCCTCTCCACCCTCAACGGGTCTAGTTTATTGCAGCATGGAGTCCAGACTCTCGCCAAGGACACCTTCGATCTTGTGAATCCACCGGTGCGTCTCCCGTTCAACGACCTCATCGTCATCGTCCTGGAGCTCACTGATGTACGGCAGCATCTCAGGTAGGGCTGGCAGCAACTCTTCTCCAAGCTTGACAACGAGTTCTTGCTGGCACTTGACAGCCGCCAGACGTACTGCAGCCTGTTCCGAACGGAGGTGACGGAGAATGGAGCTGTTGAGCTCCTTCTGGTGGTCCTGAGAGTCCGCAGCGGCAGCCAACTCCACGATCGCGGGTATAAGCTCGGCGGTCAAGTCCACGGAGGAAGCGTGGAGGAACTGGTCGACCAGGACCGGCGCAACCTTGCCGAAGTGTGCAGGGGCCTGCCAGAAGTCGTCCTGGTCATGCTCAAAGCATCTCGCCATAGTGGAGAGCACTCTCTGCCAAAGCCCCTTTTGTTCGGGCACAGTGAGGTCGCAGGACTTGACGATTTCGACGGCATCGTCCACAATGTAGGTCGCGTAACTGGTGACGATCGATTTCAAGCTCTCGAAGAAGCGCAAGAAGAAGCCGTAAACGCTGAAGCGGCGGAGCACCCGTCCAGTGATGTCTTGCTTGGGCAGTTGTATAGAAGACCACTCAACCATCTGGGCGAAGATGGGCCGGAAAGCAGCGTCGTTGAGCTTGTAAATGATGGATAGCGCCACGTCGTTGATGGACGCCTCGATGTTGGCCACGCGTTGGGAAGTTGCGCTGGTGAGCTTGCCCGTTGCCTGCTCGCGTCTCCGTAGATCCAAGGCGCTCAGGAGAATGGTAGACAGAGTGGTGACATTCTTAGTGACGACGGACTTGGTGTGACTCTCCACGATGACACTGAAGATATCCACCCATTCATCGGTTGCCTGCAAGATTGTTAGTCTGGTCGTACTTGGTGCCATTACATGATAACTTACATTGTAACCAGCTTCAGTGGCAGGGATCCAGTTCTTCTCTAAGCTGGCGAGCATGACCTTGGCATCAACCTTTCTCGCAAGGAACCTCAGGCAGTTCAGACGTTCGTCATCGGCCTCATCATCCACATCGGCTTCGGCAGACTTGTTGGAGGCAAGCAGGATGTTGTCCAGGTACTTGCCAGAAATCATGTATGGCAGGTGTTGGGCCAGGGCTGTGATAAAAGAGTAGCTGGCGTTGTGCAACTCGGTCGCCGGCTCGTCCAGCTCCACGCTTTGCTGGATGTAAAGAATTGCTTGGGGGACAGCGAGAGACAGTACGGGCAGGATGCCGTCTTGGAGAACGTCAACAAGAGAAGCAAGGCAGAGCAAAGACATGACACGGAGGCGAATATCCGGCTGACCGAGGCAGTGGACTCCAGCAATAGTCTGGGCTGCCGCAGCCACGGCCTCGACGTCCTTCTTTCCATACTTCTCTGCAATCTTGTCGACGCAGGCCACGGCCGTGTGCTTGTACTTGATGTCGTCCGTATCGCGGATGGCAGCAGTGAGCTGTGGGAGGAAGGCGAGGAGGGCGGTTCTGGATGTGACATTCGCGACATTCTCCTGGTCCACGCGGACCTCGAGGGCACGAAGAACCTTGCGTCTGAGATCGATCTCTGTGCGATCCAAGAGAGTTTCCACTGACTTGATAAACTCGCCGATGGACAGAAGGTTGAGAAGGTTGGCAAGGGCATTGCCGCAGCACTCGTGAAGAGGCTTCTGCTGCTTGACAGTCTCGGCAAGAGCAAGGACGTCTCGCAGAAGGATTGCATAGAGCTCTCGAATCTTGGAGGCATCCATGTCGTCCTTCTCTGTGAGAATACCAACTTCTTTCCGCAGCTTTCTGCTAGACAGCAGAGCAGGGAATACAGTCAGCTGTTGGAGGGCCGTGGTCTCGGGCTTCTTCTCGGACATGTCTTCGCCGACGCCAAGCAGAGTGGCTGACAAGCCCGGCTTAGGCTTGAAGATGTCGCTGATCAAGTCCAAGAGCTTCGCCAGAGTCTGAAGCTGTACCTCCGCGCTGTAGACACCGAGCAGCTCAGAAGCAAACGCCATGAGGCTATCGCTGGGGCCGTACCTATCGACCAGCATAGCCAGCAGGGCGTACAGGAACTCATCAGGGCCAAGAGTGTTGACAAGAGCGATGAACAAACCTTGCTTGCGGTGAGCCGGGATGTGTTCGTACGCAGTAACAAAGCTTGCCAAAAGCTCGGTGGCACCAGCAACTGGGTTGCGCTTGCCCTTCTTCAGCGACGTCATGAGCGGCGGAACAAC